GAAGGGCACGTAGAGAATGCACGTGTAACATCAGGGCGCAAGCCACTGGACCCCACGGAAGAGGACAGAAAGGGGATCGGAAGCACTTGGTGAGGGTTGCATGACTTGAAGGTCTTCCAGCCAACCGAAGGCTGACTTTGCCTTCCACAGTTTAGGAATCCAGGCCGAATCCTCCTTCTGATTGAACCTGAGGTGAGATCCCTAAAGAAGTAGAAGGTTCTGATAGAGTACATGCCTTGTATAGTTTCCATCCAAAAAAAAAAAATCCCAGTCCCCCAACCTCTCTCTCTGCACCCCCATATGGGTGAAGACACGACCCATATGTTGCCAATGAAGTACGTATTGGTAACTGTTTTTCTGAAAAGACATTTGGCAACGAAGGAAGCTTAAAATATATAAAGTTCTTTGTTAAATATCTTGTAGACATCAAATGGAAGCAGTGCTTAGAGCCATGTTACAAATCTACAGACAAAGATTTTCAATGTAGTGTCACTTAACCTAGTTAGAAGGGGAGGACATAATCTCGAAAAGAAAACTTTGGAATCAACATGTAACAAAAGACAACTCTTGAAAGCAACATTTCAAGCATCCGTGCTTGAAATACATACTGTAGGGTGAAGTTTATTTTTTTAAAAAAGCAAGAACAAATGAATGCTAACAAGGATTATAGATGTGATCGTGGGAAAGTTGGGAGAAAATGTAGCCCAACAAATCAAATCGTCCTCCAGGGAAAACAGTACCAACTGCTGTCAGTAACAAGACTGTGAAGGACAGGAGGAGAGGGCGTCAGTAGGCAACACTCAGCTCTGCGCTGAGCCTTTAGCTCATGGTGACACAGGTCTGTGGAGCTCCACAAGTGGAAAGAGAAATCTTTGTATTCCTTAAAAGGAGTGATCCCCCCTTTTTTTGTGTGTGCCAGTACCAGAGCTTTATCTCAGGGCCCAGGGTGCTGTCCCTCAACTCTTTTGCTCAAGGCTGACACTCTTAAGTCCTTGAGCCACAGTTCTGCTTCTGGGCTGTTCATTGGAGATTTGAGTCTCATGGACTTTCCTGCCCAGACTGGCTTTGAACCTCAATCCCCAGATCTCAGCCTCCTGAGTAGCTGTGAGCTGCGTAGGTGTGAGCCACCGGTGATGGCTTCATCCCCCTTTTACACGCACCTGTGCACACGCACACAGCTCCGGGGATATAAAAATATGACTTTCCCTGGGAATTGTAGTCTCTGCCTGCACATTTCAGAGAGCTGAGTTTATGTCTGCCTTGCTCCCTGCTGAAGCCCTGGCTCCTGGCCCAGACCCTGGCACAGGGAGACCATCTGATTAATAACAGCTGAATGAATGAACAAATGTTTCCGTAATAGATGAGCTGCAAGGGACCCAGTTCTTTAGTGCTCAGCCTTCTTTCTGTAATAAGAGAGAGAGAGGCTAGAATTGTTCGTAGCTGAGACTGTTCCGCTTGCACTGGCATGGTGGATTGCTCTGACATACAGTATCCCACTTCAGTGTTGGAGCTACCTACCGTGTGTGGATCCTAGAAGCATGGCCAGCACACTCCATGGCCAAGGCGCATCATGACGAAGAATTCACATTCATTATGTCTAATATTTAAAGCAAGTTTCCTGGCTGGGAACCATCAAATCAAGGTGTCAAGTTTTCTGTTTTCCACAGCTCCTATACACTGTGTGTGTGTGGGGGGGGGGGGCACTGGTACCGAGGCTTGAACCAAGGGCCTGTTGCTCTTGCTTGGCTGGCTTGCTCACAGCTGATACTCTACCACCGGCGCCACACTTCCAATCTGGCACCCTGCTGGTCAATTGGATGGAAATGGAGTCTTGTGAATTTTCTGCTCAGACTGGTATGGGACCATGATCCCCTGATTCTAGCCTCCTAAGTGGCAAGGATTACAGGCATGAGGCACTGGTACCCAGCTCACACATACAGTTGTAGGGATCCAATCTGGAAATAAGAGACAAATGGTACCTCTAGGTGTCCTTGGTTTGGCCAAGAATGGAATATCTCCAGCAGGCAGTGAGCCCAACAGTGGAAAGCTCAGAAAGTTCCTGAATATTCCAACTGGCTTCTCTGCCTCATTTGAAAATGAAATGAGGGAAAATGAAGCTCTTCAACCAGATCCTTTAATCCAGTCTTCAGCAAAGGCAAAACCATGGGGCTAGAAATGAGAGTTGGCTTTTCCTACCTTTGCTCCCTGCTGAAAAGTCCTGAAAAGATGAATCACAATGGCTGAGAAGGGAAATGGCGCTGTGAATCAGGAAGAGAGTTCTTCTGTTTCCGATTTCTTGTGAACTCTCACCATAAGGGAGATGTGTTGCTGGGTGGTGAAGAGAAATAAGCTATTAGTAAATATACTTACGGGAATAAAACTTAGCAAAATGAAACAAACCAAATAAGTAGTTGTCAATTTGAGTATTTATTTCCTCAATGAATATTACATGTAGACCTTTAATTTGATCATGGACACTAAAATGTAGAATTTAGAAGATGATTTCTCTCCTTAATATTAATCATCTAGGAGAAATGGAAGGTGAAATATTTCATCAGTTAGATTCAAACTAGAAAGTAAACATTCTAAGATAAAAATAGTGCAAGAATTGATTGTTAATGAATTTTCAACCAGAAAACAATGATAAAAAATTACAAAGATACTGCAAGATTTATAGAGATACTGACATTTTTAGTAGAATATTTTAATCTTTGCTTTCATAAGGAGACTTTACCAACCTAAGCTAGAAACTATTCTGGGTATTTTAGGCAAAAGTAAATAATACTCGCAATTGCAAGATTCTGACTGAATTAAAAGGTATGGATTCTCAATCCTGGGTGCCAGTTAGAACCACCTAGATTGCTAAACAATCTCCTTCTGGGTCCTCTCAGAGTGATTTTATTGAAATCTCTGGGGATGGAAGTGTAGTATCAGTTTATAAAAAAAGAAAAATCAAAGTCTCAGATGCTTCTAAGGAGCTGACAGTAGTCAGTCCTACCTACAAAGGTAGGACTGTAAACTTGAGGAGAAGGAGAATTATGCACAATCCATTTAACACATGCTCAATGAAGACAGAAGTACCTTGAGTCATTTATGAGCTATGTGGCCCGTTTACAAAAGGGAAGCCTGCCAGTGCTACTTACTCCAAGCCATTTGTCATAGAGCCCACACTGAGTGAGAACTCTTTGGTTCCTGCTTATTATGCATTCAAGCAATGGAACTTGAAAAGGAGCTCGGTTTGAATCCATTTCTGGTCACTTGAAGGGACCAGGTGCCTGCCTTGTGCAATTGTCGTAAATGATCTCTAAGCACCTCATAGAGGTGACTCAGGGCTGAGATTGTGGTCCAAGGGGAAAGCCACTAGGCTTTCTTCAATTTGTTTTGATCAGATAGTAAGATAATTTTATACCAGAACAAGTATATCTATACACTTAATTCTGAAGGAAAAAAATCAGTCCCTGCCTACAATCTGTGAGTGAATCACTGATATTTTCTGTTCTATTTTACTTATCAAAAATGTTAGCAAAAACGTCACTAGGTCTTCTGCCTTATTGTCTTTCTGGGTGCTGCTTGTCTGTGATCTCGAAATCTGACTGACATGGTTCTGTTAGACAGAAGCTCAAGTTATGTGACTGGTCTTCCTAGTAGATTTCCAACACTGGTCCAATTTACTATGGATAGAAGCTCTCCAGCTCAACCCAGTTCCCATTAGAGAACTGTTTTAAAAGGAAAAGGATTTGCCCAGCTGTTGCGACTGGAGAAAATACTCTTGAAAGAGGAGCTTGCCCTAATCTTGCGCCAGTAATTCTTGCGCTCCTGTAATGATTTGCAATAAATCTCCTTAAGTCCTGCTCCTGTTTCCCTTTTAATCCTCGGTTCCTTCCTTCAGTATCAAGCTTGGGAAGGCACAAATCCCTTTTGCTCATTAAGAGAAACGCACAGTACCGTGACCTCAGGACTGGAGTTCAGTCTGTGTTAGAGGGTGTGCATCTTGGAGAAGTCCCGGATGGAATTGGAATTCTGCTTTCCAGATGTGGAGAATGAGTGCTGGAGGTTTTGGCACTCCTGGCTTTCCACAGAACTCCGTCTAGATGGGCAGAATGTATGCTTCTAGAGCTCTGTAGAATTGGATCAGTCACTTCTACTATGAAGTATATTATTTTTATAAAAATGTGGTAAAAAAAAACCCTTCATACATAATACGCAGTAAAAAGCAATGCATGACAGGAAAATAAAACGGGCTCTGTTGAGGGGTGTGTATAAGCAGGAGAAGGCAGGGCTTGCAAGAGTAACTCAAGATGAATGTGGTCTAAGTAGTTTATCTGAATATCTAAAAATAGAACAATGGAAGAGGTGGTTGACATTGTTCTAGAAAGGGAGTTGGATTCCAGAATGATAGAGCAGGTGAGTTTGCTCTTGATACCATATAGAGATAGCATGTATGGAAATGTCCCAGTGAACATATCCCCTTGTATAACTAATGTGCGCTAGCAAAAACAAATCATAGAAAAGAAGTTTCAGTGTGAGAAATCTTGAGCCTACATGGGAACGTTTGAACTTGACTCCAATTTCAGAGGAGGTAGAGAGTTCCTTTCTGTGGGGCTTCAACTCAGGGCCTCTCTCTCTTGGCTTAGCTCTTTCACTTAAGGCTTGCATTCTGCCACTTGAGCCATACCTCCACTTCCCGCTTTTTACTGGTTAATTGGAGATAAGAGCTTCAGATTTCTCCCGAAAGGCAGCCCCGAGGCCCCTTCAACTCTAGGCCAGCTCTCAGTGCAGGGAACACAGCCCGGGAGGATGGGTCACCAAGCAAATCTTGAGGAAGTGGGCTGTGTACTGAGAGGTAATTTAAGCGTAGCTAGACGGATCTATTAGTCTCCCTCCATCTATGATGCCAATAAATAACAAAACATTGCCTGCAGCAAACATTTCCATCAGAACATGCAATTTATTCAGAATGCAAACTGTTGTGCTTTGCTAAGGAAGATAGATAGCTACTCTCAGGAACAGGCATGTACTTGTTTATTAGCCTTGGGATTGAACAGGGTATTTTTGGTACAGAAAGAAAGATGCCATGCTAGTTGCTGGTTTCCAGGATGCAGAAAATTTTTTCCTGCTCTCCTTTAATCCCTGTCACCCCATCCTGGGAGACCCCAAAATGCTCACTTTGCTATAAAACCAGGACTCCCAGTCACCCCCATTTCTCATTCATCTCAACCAAAAATATCACCACCATCTTGTTTCTTTGTTTGCCATTCTTCTTGTTTAACTTTGAGTTGTATTTCTGTAGGGTCAAAACAGGCAAAACCAAATGCCAAAAGGGCATAGAATGAAAAATATGTCTCCTTACACCAAGTCCTCTGTGTTCTCCCCAGTGAAGTCTTTGTCTCCAGTTTCTTTGGATGGCTTCTCCAAAAACAATAGTCTGTGCCAACAGATAACGGTCTACATCGCTGGTTTCTTCTCTGTAAAGCATTCCGCCTCCTCTGTCTCCATTCACCATATAGCTTAGAGATTTTTCCATCTCAGATATCTGGGTCTCCTTTATCTATTTCCATAGCTGTCCATGAAATCAGATTCCGAGAGACAAAGAGCACCCGTTTTCATTCCTGTGGAAGACAGATCTAAATTATGAATGATTCGCTCATATATATAAATATATATGTATAAAAGCATATACAGGGTCATCTGCAGATATACACAGACATGAACTGAAGTTCGTTTATGCAGGGATTCCAATGGTGTGACTCCTTTGAACAACTAACTTCCAGTTTAACCTGAGTACCAAGACACGGAACCTGTTGTCAGGAGTGGGGGTAAGGTCGGAGGGAGTGGAGTAGGCAGCCAGATGAAGAGAGGCAGTGTGTACACATATGAAAATGGAACTGGATAAATGGAGGGGATGGGTGGGGTGGAGGAGGTGGGGAGAGGGACAGAAGGAGTGACGTTGATCGAGCTGCATTGTACACACACTGACACATTGCATTGAAATCACCCCGCACAACTACCTCAAGATAACTTAAAGCATAGGACCCATTTTGAGTTGGTTTTTTTTTTTTTTGTACAGGGTAAAAGATGGGGTCCTAGTTTCAGTCTCTTAAAGTATTCCAGTTTTCCCAGCACCATTTGTTGAAAAGACTACTTTTTTTTAACCATGTATTTTTGTGTCTCCTTTACTGAAAATAAGATGGCTGTAGTTGTGTCGTTTGTTGCTGCATCATCTAGCCTGTGCCTGTGCCTGTGCGTGTGTGTGTGTGTGTGTGTGTGTGTGTGTGTGTGTGTGCTTTTGTGCCAGTACCATGTTGCTTTCATTACTGGGACTCTAAATTAGGTATTGTGATCTTTTTCCAATATCACTCTTTTGATCTTGTTGCTCTGGCTGTTTGAGCTCGTCTGTGTTTCCACATGAATTTCAGGATTGATCTTTCTGTGGAGAATGACCTAGGCATTTGGATGAGGATTGAAATTAATCAGTGATTGCTTTCAGTAGTATGGCTATTTTTACCATCTTTCCATCTTGCAATGTCTTCTCCAGTTTCCTTCTTCAGTGCTTCAGAGTTTTTAACGTAGAGATTTTGCTTTGTGTTTTTTGAGGGCATTGTGAGTGGAATAGTTCTTGATTTAATTCCTTAAGGACTCAATATACTATAAAGTCCACCTGTGTAAATGAAACATAACTCACTAAATGCAACGTAAGACCAATTGTGGTAATGCCTCAGCTATATCATTGTGTGTTCGTGGTGATTTAAGATTGCCCATGCAAATGTATTTTTAAGTAGTGACCTGAGTATACTTAATAATATAACCGAGGGACCTCCAGTTTGGATATAAAACCTCATTAGTCTATGCCAGATGTGGCCATCATTTTGATGTGACAGAGCTGACAAAAATGGCCATGTCATGTTTCCATGCATAGGTTGATGTTGCAAGCATCCCATGAATTGTGCTTAGAAAATGTTTCTATCGATACTTGTTTTACACAAATGGTTAACACAGGGAGTGAGCATTCTCAGACAGTAAACTGATGCTAATTTTATAATCTCACAACCTATTTGTTCATCATTATCAATTACAGATTTTTTGGGGGGTGGATGTTGTAGAAGAGGAAAAAACTCAAACCAAATTATTAGGGGTTTCTTGGCTTAGGCACCTCAGAGTCAGAAATGTCTACATGTAGTCAGTGCTTAACCCGGCAACCCATTGGTTGTGACCAGAATTTCACTTTTCCCTTTCATAATTCCCCCCATACTCATGCTGCCTCCAGCCCCATTTCCAGCTGTTGTTCACAAGTGGCTGCTGCCAGCTACAAGCTCGCAGCCTAAACCACATGGCCCAAAGGAAAAGCCGGTGCCACTTCCGGTAGTTTCTGCACAAATTCTTACTGCTTCAGGTTTGCTCAGTTGCCAATCATCGTTGTCACAAGGAAGGAGAGACCATGACTGGCTTAAATCAACCATGCCCTGACCATAGAGCAAAGCGGCTCAAGCTCACCTGACCTACATAATGTCGGAGAGGAAGCCCAGGGTGGCTGCTGCACGGTCTGGGGCACTGGCGTGGAGAGGACTCTCATCTTGCCAGCACTTTCTGGGGGTGGTGACCTAACGCATTCAGCGTTGGGTCACACTCAGTTCTTTCTTCTCCTGGTAAAGTCCAAGATTCATGGAAGAAAAATAAAATAGCTGGGCACCGGTGGCTCACGCTTGTCATCCTACCTACTCAGGAGGTTGAGATCTCAGGATCACGGTTCAAAGCCAGCCTGGGCAAGAAACCCCATGAGACTGTCATCTCTAATTAGCCACCAGAAAACTGGAAGTGGTGCTGTGACTCCCAGTATTAGAGCACTAGCCTCAAACAAAAAGAGCTCAGGGACAGCACCCAGGCTCTGAGTTCCTACCTCACAATGGACCAAAAAAAAAAAAAAAGAAGAATATGTCTAACTTAAAAGGCCTGTAGGAACAAAACCAAGGATTGTATGTTTCATTTGCATATATACATACATACGTATATATACACAAATACATACATACATATATACACATATACATACATACATATATACACATATACATACATACACACATATATATACATATACATACACACGTATAC